TTTTGATTACATCATGATTATTGTTGTAGCTTGTAGAGGAGGAGGATGGCCAGAGGAGTACTCCACTTATTATTGCCGCTCGCAATGGTCATGACAAAGTGGTCAAACTGTTGATTTCAAGATTCCGCATTAATCTTGAGCAGGAGGGAGTTGTCAAATTTGATGGGTACAAAGTTGAGGGTGCTACGGCTTTGTGGTGTGCTTCAGGTGAGTTTTCTTCATTAAGAATTTTAAGTACTTAATAATGTATTATTTAATTTTCCATTTCTTTGTTTACTAGGAGCTGGTCACTTGAAAGTTGTCAAGACCCTAGTAAAATCAGGAGCTGATGTTGACCACCCTACCAAAACAAATTCTACTCCCTTACGAGCGGCTTGCTTTGATGGAAGGCTAGATATAGTTCGCTACCTAGCAGAACACAATGCTAATGTGCATACAGCAAATAAGTACAATAACACGTGCTTGATGGTCGCATCATACAGGGTAGGATTTATTCTTACTTTGACAGTCAAAAATTTTGTTATAATGGTATTCAGTGTCTTCTTCTATGACTTACTTTTAGGGACATGGTGATGTTGTTAGCTATCTTTTGGAAAAAGGTTCTGACCCAAATGTCAGAGCTCAGTGTGGTGCTACTGTTCTGCACTTTGCTGCAGAATGTGGTCAGTTGAGCATTGTAAAGGAATTGCTTAAATATGGTGCTCAGTTCAGTTTAAATGAGAATGGTATGTGAACTGCTGAGCAAATGCCAAGGAAACTTATGTTTAAAAATCTGTTCCTTACCTTTAACCAAATGTTTAACGTTTAAATTAGGCATGTCCCCTCTGATGGTTGCTGCGGATCGCACAAGGGAAGATGTTGTTGATTATCTTATACTTCAAGATTTCCTTTCATATGAAGATAAGATTGATGCATTGGAGCTGTTAGGTGCATCATTTGCTAATGATAAAGATAATTACTCTCCTGCTAGTGCATATACCCATATGAAAAGAGGTATGGAGCTAAGATTCAAGAATAAAAGTAAGCCAATTCTGAAGAAGCTTGGTCCACCCATTAGAGCATATGAATATTGGGTAGAAGCCCAGAATATGGAAGAGATGATGGCTCGTGCTGTAAGTTTGAGTACTGCAATCAAATAACCTTGCACAATCTTGGATAGATCTAATTTTTATCTCTGTTTTCAGTCTGATGTTAATTCAATACATATGGAATCCTTGGCAATACGTGAGCGAATTCTTGGGCCAAACAATCCTGAGGTTACTCACCCAATTATTTATAGAGGTGCAGTATTTGCTGATCATGCACAATTTGACCGCTGCATTGAGCTGTGGATGCATGCAGTAAATTTACGTCAGAACACCAATACGTCTGTTGTGAAAGATCTTTTGCGCTTTGCCCAGGTATTTTGATATCTGTATACCTACATTTAGTTGACATTGTAAAATCTCTTTAATCCCTATTTTTTTCTTATTTGTGTTAGGTTTTTTCACAAATGATTCATGTGGGAGTAGATCTACATTACCCTGAGGTAGAATCTGTCATGATTGCTGGTGTAAGAGAATTGGAAAATAACAAATCAAAAATTGCAGACCCAGGTCCCAAAGATGATGTTGAAACAATACAGGTAAACTAACTATTTCTTATCTATTATAGGCAAATTTCTGACTTTTTCCAGTGTAAATCAGCTTTTAAGGACTAGATGTGACGTAAGAAACTGACATTGTGGAAGCACCTCTAATATGTACTGTGTGTGTTTTTCTGAATGTGTTGATTCTGGCCCATATTTTAAAGCCTTCATTATATATTACAGGAGGAGATGGAAACCAATCTTGTCACAATGTTGTACCTATTATGCATTTCAAACAAATTATTGACATCATTTGACAGTAATCATGAGTATTATCAGAGTCTGAACAGGATTACCTTCCAAGCAAACAGGGTCAATGCACGTACAAGACTTGGTGAAACACTTCTGCACCTTTGTGTCAATGCTGATACTCCACTTGATGATTTTCATATCAATGATGTTTGCAAGTATGTTACCTAGTCCGACAGTATATGATTCTTGCCATTAAAAAAAATAATTTAAAAATCCTACTTCTGTATAACTAATATGTTTCTCCTTGCAGATTTCCCTGTGCAGTTACTGCCAAGCTTCTTATTCAAACTGGTGCAGATGTAAATGCTATGGATAAAAATCGGAATACACCTCTTCACGTCATTGTTAGTTTTCAACGACCATTAAGGTTAGGGCTGTGTAATTTGGTGCTCTTGACTAGGCAGGAACTCTTGCAAAGTGTTGGTGATATTTTGAAGCAATTTTGCTGTTTCATTACTCACTCTTCTTTATTCATAATTAGGGAGTTCATGACAATCCATACTATTATCATGGACCTTACTTCTGCTGGTGCCCACCAGGATATTTGCAATATTAAAGGAGAAACTCCATATGATGCAACTACTGGTAACATATATCCACCTTTAAATTTTTGCATTTCAAACGTAATACGTAAGTTGAAAAATACAAACAAACTTTTACTAACATAATATGCTTTTTTTAGGGGTTGCTGAGCTCATCCTAAGGACACAGGCAAAGCTGAGTCTGAAATGCCTTGCAGCAAAAGTAGTGAAAGCTCACAACATACCTTACATTGGTCAAGTTCCCATCACTCTGGAAAGTTTTATTGAGTTACATGGGCCAGGTAGGTCCCACACTAACCGTCTCACTTTTAAAGATGATGTGAATTCTCCTGAATTATTTGTCTGTATTTAAATGAGCAATGAAGATTCTTAGTGAGTAGTTACTTTTGTACTGTAAATTATTAAGCTCAAGTTTGTGTTTTCTGTGTTTTAGTCAGACCCCTTTTATTTAAAAGTCAGGAGGCTGAATTCCCTTTGGTAAAGCCAATATTTTGACCCTCTGGTCTTTGAAGGGGAATTTTGCTTTTAAAAAAGTGACATTGTGATAAATAATTTAATTTAGTTTAATTACTTGCAAATTTTAGAATAAAGTTGTCTATTAATCATCTCTAACATCTTTTAGAAAGTGGATTTTGGACTTTTATCTCTGATTCTATTTTGTATGAACTTAGGCTCAAATGAGGAGGCTCAAGATTCACAAAATATCTTTTGTCTTTTGCCCGAGTTCCAACCAAATTATAATCTGGTAAGACTTCATGAGGCATCTACTTTTTTTCTAAATTATGGATAGATTCTCTGTAGACTGCTGCATGCAGACTCCCAAACAGTGGGAACATCAATATTTTTAGATCTATGGCTGCTATAGCAGAATGCTGTCCGTTGAAAGAAGCAGCAGTTGGCTGGGTAGTTGAACTTGGACTGTGTAAGTTTTACTTTGCAGTTCAAAATATGTTGTTGCATGGAAAAATATTTTCCAGTCACACATTCCCTACCTGTTAGAACTGCCTTCAATAATAAGCTGTAAATACACACATTGGCAATCACCCTTCATTTTGTTTTTAAATAGGCTTGCTTTCAAATTTGAAACCCTTTGTAAATCTTGTAATTTGTGTTCTTATTTTCTATTTTGTGAGGAGTATAGAATATCAGTTCTCTTTTTAGAATCACTGTTGAAGTTATCCCTTTCAATTACTTTTTAAAGTAATACTTCTTGCCTGAATTACATTTTGTATTACTGTTTTTTCTGTAATAGGAACTTACTCAAATGCTTTAATGATCTTCTTGAAACTTATTGAGCTTTGTTCATATCTGAGATTCAATTTATATATTTTTCTCTAACCCATATCTAGGTTATTACCATGTGTAGGAACTATTATTCAGATTTCTTTTCTGTAGACAGCTATACCTGCATGTTCACTGTTCAGCTGCAAGATGCATAGAACTGTACTGTTCTGTTGGATGTATGCCATGTATGCTGACTGTCCTATGATGTAGTACCTGTGTGCTGACTTTTCATTATTAATGAAGTGTTGAGGGTTCTTCTATGTGACACGCTCATCATTGGTCAAGCTCAATATATATTTTTAATTTATTTGCTTTTGACATGAAACTAAAATGCCAATATTTGGTCAATTTATGTAAATGGCATCAAAGTAACAACTTTTTCAACAATTAAACTTAATTTTGATGACATGCATTAATATGACGCCATTGTTGCCATTGAAATTGTTTTGCTTTGTTGCGTGTAATATGCCACTCTAGTGCTTCAAGCATGCTAATGTTACAGTCTTGTACTTAGTCAACAGACTATTTTCTGTACAAGGTTTAAAAGTTATCCATCACATACCTGAAACTGAGATTATGTTCTTCTTTCAGGAATTTTTGAAAATTGCAGCTGCTCAAGCTGCCAAAGTGTTTTATGTGATGTAAGGCATTCTGCCTTCTGATAGTCACTAAAGTCTGATAAATATTGTTTGGTGTGATACTCTGTATGCTATCATTTGCTTTATCAAAGTGTCAAAAACTTTATATAGATTTTTGTACAGTCTTTGTTATTGTCATATGCTTAATAGCTTTAATTTGTGTGTGAGATTGTCATAGTCCATTTTGCCTGTAAATATGTTATTCTGTTATAAATATTTATTATTTTGTACTTCATTATCCTGTTGAATTTGTTGGTTTATTTTTGTCAAAAGGACAGCATTAGATAGTTTTGTAATATATTGTCCGAACAACATTGTAACTTTTGAGATTTTCCTGTATAGTTTTCACCTGATGTGAATGCTGATGTTGTTCCTTGCCAACAACTGTTAACCTTGTTATAGAACAAATTGGCATCCAATGTCACTGTCTTCTTGTTCAAGTACAAATGTTTATTGGAATGTTGAATATATATTTTTTGGTTCTTAATGCTGGAATGTGAAGGATCTTAATATAAATTTTTTTTAACAGACTGATTAATTAAACTTGTATGTGTAATGGGACATGAGAGAATAAGCCCTCTCTCATGAATAGGGTAGTGTTGTAGGGTGGGTGTTGTAATTATTTTCGACAAAGACTGAAATTTTTTTGAGAGAAAGTTCATGTGGACGTTTTTTGTTTCTGTGCTTTAATTAACAGTAAAAGCCAAAGAATAAATTGGACATCATAGAAGTATTTTTTCCATTTAGAACAAATGGAAATATTGATTACGTTTATGAAACGTCCATGGAAGGTATCAAGGTATTGTTTAAATTTATAGCAAGCTACCTAAATTTAAAATGAAACAAAATCAAAAAGTGCAACAATTTTGCAAAATGATCAGAATATTCCCTCCCATTATCATTTACATGATATTAGATTCTACAAGTTTAGTCAGGTGAATGTATGTTGATGTTATGTACTACCCTGTGTGTGGCAAATAAACTTCCCTTTTTCACTTAAACACTGAGTTGTTAGTGATCTAATAATTCAGGAGTCTTAAACTCACTGCTAGCCCATAACCCAACACTAAGTCTTACATGTTAAAAGACACCACACTGCTATAGTTAAATTGAATTATTGATAAATGTAAGTGATTTACCAAGTGGTTCACAAGCCTTATACATTATTGAAAATGCACAATGATAACTCATTTAGTGCATTGCTAGTGTTTTGATGTAATCCAGACAGGACGAGCAACTTTGGTGCTCAGAACTCTGCGAACAGTGATGCGCTCCTCACATGACTCATTAGCATTGTAAAAACTGATGAGATCCTCTATGGCTCTGTCTTCAATCTGAAAACCCAAAACAGAATTAATTTCTTCACGACCAGACTTTGTTATTTTATTCTGCTATACTAACCTGTGTCAGATTAAGAGGCTTAGCCCTCATGCGAGTCCAGTTCTCACGCTGTTTCATTTCATCAGCAATTATGTCAGAAAAATTAAGTCCTGACTCTTTCTTGTTGGGACTTGGATCGCAGGAAGTTATATCTGGCAAGGAAGGTGGAGTTGAAGGGCTCATGGCAACATCCACTCTACTCCAAGGTGAACCAGAACTACTGTTCATTGGATGGGATGAAGATCCAGAAAAGCCTGCTGGGGATCTTAAAATAAAGTCAAAAAATCATTATACACACATAATTAATTATTAATTAATTAAAGAATGACAATCAAAATATTGGTCAACTACTCTCAGACCTTTTTATATTGATGGGATTTGTTGTTGCGGAAGAATTGAATTTTGTTTTTTTAAGTTGCTCTTGCATAATATCTGCTAAAGACAAGCTCGGAGGAGTTTCTGGCATAAGTTCCTCTCGCTTCTCCCATCCTCGAGAAATAATTGGTACAGGTGCTGATGGAGCCTCTTCTAATGCCAATTTCTTGCGTTGTTTTTGAGATAATTTTCCAGGACGTTTCTCATTCGATGGCATGGCAACTAAACTATAAATTAAAAATAATGATAAACTACAATCTACAGATATAAATTATTGTACAAAAATAAAACATGTATCAAGTTATTGACATATTTACCTCACTTTTGAGTGTCCTCTAGTGCCATCAACAAAACCCAGTTGAGGAAAATGATTTTCCAAAACATTCTCATTGATCTGCCTATTAGGTGGCCCAGTGCTAAGTTTTCCTACGCTTATTTGCTCCTTGGGAGATTGTAAGGGTGATGATGGAGAATATGAATGCAATGGCAACATATGATAATTAGAGTTGGAGGGAGAAGTCACTTCCAAGTCCTCTTCACGAGATATTGCAGCAGCCTTGAGGAAAAACATATGGAACATGGAGAAAAAGAACAATGCCAATAAAAATTAGAGCGATGGTCACTACTTGTACCTTCAGCCTGGCCTGAACAGTTTTATGGGCTTTGCTACTGTTCAGGACTTTAATCCATTGGTTTTGTTTCTCAGTTTTCGCCTTAGTCTCTTGAGTGTTTTCCAATGAAACTTTTTCTAAAGACTGATTTATATCTGATTCTTCCTTTTCAACCAAATCACTCCAATCTAATGGCTCTGGATCAAATGATGTGTCCATATCATCTGAGTTTACCGAGCTCACTGAATCTGCATGTTGGCGGGCCCTGCAATTTTCACTAGAACGTCTAAAACGTGCCTTCCTCTTTGACAAATTTTTCATTTTCTTTTGAGTTTCCATTTTATCAGGGGATTCAAAATTCAAATCTGCAAAGAAGCAGGAAGACAGTAGTTTCAACGAAATTAGCTTTTCAAGGACTAAAAAACTTTCTTATTTCTCACAATTAATTCTTACCGTCCTCCCAAACAATAAGATTTGAAGACGAAATTTCTTTGATAAAATCTATTGTAGGGGCATAAGAATAAGGGGTGATAACCCGACATTGCATCTTAGGATGAATAGTAAAGTAGTAATCTCGTAAGCCATCTAATAACAAAGGTGATAGTCCATACAGATTTCTGAAAAATATAATTACGGTTGAGTTTTCAATTATTAAAGATCCATTGATCTAATGATTAACTATGTGAGATGACTATATTTTACCCTGATTCCAGAAGGGAAGGCAGATTAAGGCACACAAATTGATAACAGCAGTCACGAAGTTCTGGTGCATTGTAAGTGTAGGCTAACTCAAGAACAACTGCCACATTTCTTAGAGTCAGCATTGAGGCCAAAGCAGCTTCACAACGAGTCTGTGCACACAATATAATATACTCAGACAATGAATTTAGAAAAACTCTGATGAAAAAGAAAATATGATAGTTACCTTGAATGGATTTATCAGAAGACCATCAGCAGCAATTAATGCATTCATAGCAAGTTCAAAATCAGCAGCATTGATTCTATCCAAACTGGGTGTCACATCCTTATAAATATAGTCCAACAGTATTGATAAAACGGACTGATCCAGAGGTAATTGGAGGTTTCTAGTTTCTTTGCTCTAAAATAAAACAACTTCATTAAGTGTACTGTGTATAAGTGTGTGAATAACATTCTCAATTGTCTAGAAACCAAATTTATTAAGACAGCAGGAGTGTCATATGTGCAATTGGAGCTCACCTCAATCCATCCCCCAGCCAACATATTGTGAAAATACTCTGATCTTGCTGCCAGTATGCATTTATGTACATTAAAAGTCACTCCATCTTTGGAGAGAATGCTGGCATCACAAAACTCTGATGTCTCATTCCAATCCATTTCTATGGTTTCTATTTTTGATGCCTTTAGTAGTTTTGAATCAGAAACCCATACTATTTTTCCATCATGATACCTGGTGCAAAATAAGGACGTGAGACATACAATGTATGACTTTGGCTTTAAGAGCATATTGGAACAACAGAACTCACTTTAAGTTATTCAGAAGGGCAACAAATTTTGTTAGTCCTAACTTTTTTCCAATTGTTCTTGCTTGAGTTAAAGGATTGGTCGTACAATCTTCTTCTTCAATAAAAGTGCTGCTTTTAATTTTCTCACCACTCTTGGATTTTTGAGGGGTCATCTTTTTCTTTGAAGGAGAAGGTATTTCCTTTTCGAAATGGGCATGAGTGTTAACACAGCAAGTGCTGTGAAAAGGCAATAACAGTCATTTTAGAAAGATGAAAGTGGCAAAAGAGTGAAATTTAAAGTTTTTCGGTGAGCTTACTCTTTTGGGTGCGTGAAGGCACATTGCCCAAAATACATAAAGAGTAGTATCTGTTCAAATACATCTGCAGATGCATCTGATATTTTAACCACCGGAACGCTTCCATTGGCAATGGAATTTTTGCCTTCACGGATCATTTTCAAAAGGACGTTGCTATGTTTTGATACCACAAATTGATGTGCAGCAAAGCGGCGATGTTCAACCTGGATACCAAAACAAGAAAAAAAAACAAAAATCATTCCAGTTGGAACTTTGACAAAATTTCTAGCAGCTTTCTACGACCTTTTACCTCAAATACAATGTCATGTAAATTGTCCCATTCGTTAGTCTCATTAAGTAAAGCTAACATATCCTGTCTCAAGCCATGCTGTGCCGGAGGTAGCTCCGGCACATTACTCAGAAATACAGATGGATGAGCCTTCAAGAGAACAAAAAACAAAATTGTTAAGTTGATTTAAAATCAGTTAGAAATTTATAGAAAATTACATTACATCTAAAACTGAATCTTAGGATGTTCCTTGATATTACCTGAATAAGAGCAAAGTTTCTTCCTTTAGGGTCAGATGTGACTCTTAAAGACCTGTGAGCATTTGGCAACCGATTTAGGGAAACTGGGTAACAAACATCTGGGTCAAGAAATACTTTTATACTTGTTTTACTTTTTTCTGTTTGTTTGTAAACCACATGGTGTTCTCCATCAGTGTTTGCCACACCTAGATTAATTGTAAAAATAACAAGCTCAATCAATATTTTTATGATGACAACAGAAAGAGCATCATTCATAACACTGTGGTAGCAAGACACAGCTTCACAATATTATTGACTTACTCTTTCTCGCTTTGGAGGACTTCAATTCTGTTGCTTTAAATTTACAGGGTTTAACTTCTCCAGAGTATGCTTCCCCATCACTACTTATTAAGAGTAAGGCAGATTTACTTAGATTTAACTCAATATCTATTATTTTAAGTTGACGACTTGATGAAAGAATACACCTAAATATCAAGTAGACACTGTTATCAAGTTTGTTTTAAACAGGCTCAAATACATTTGATCAGATCATTATTACCTGGTCATTTGAAGATCTTTCTCTTGCCACAAAAATACTGATCCTTCTTTTGAAATGGCTGCCACCTTTAAGGGCTCTCCTTTTTCTGCTAAACTACTGGGATCTATTCCTGAATCAAGATGTCCACCAACAACAGCTACTTTTTCTATAGCTATTGGGTACCTATCAATAATATAAAATTTAAATAAAAATCAATCTATTCTAATAACTTGCCACTTCAAATATGATTTTAACTGACCGCATCGGTAATCTTGTTTTCTGATATTCATGAAGGACCCAGATATGACGACTGCCAGTGGCAACTACAGTTGCTCCATCACTAGCAGCAACGTGGGTAATGTCCACATCTTTATAAAACAAGGCATTTACCTAAAAATAGACATGGTATACATGTAGTGAGGGTGAGAATTGAAGTACCGGTAAATAAAACCAAATAATTCCTTCACACTGTGATAGGACAATGATACTCACAGATTTGGGAAGAATAACTGTCTTTTCTAAACTGTTAGGATGCCCCAGCTGGCCAGCATTCAAACCAAATGTCAAAATTTCCTTTCTGCTCCAAATTACAGAATGAAAGCGACCAGCACACACTCCTAGAGGTGTATCCTTTAGATCTTCTAAGTACCGCATAGGCAGTCTGTGAGGCTCCAAAACATTGTCAGGAGGTGGACTTAGACCCAAAACATGGTGAGTATTTAATCCAAACACAAGAATCTGGAAAAATAATTCAATTTAGATAAATCCAACTCTTGTTAGAACGAAACATACAAATGCAACAATGAACTCACTGTGTAGCTCTCCATTAGAAGTATGGTGTGGTCCCTGCCGACTGCAGCAGATACACACCCTTCAGGTTGCCCAGGTGTAGATTTGGGATTCTGGGAAGGGCTTTTGGTTATTGATCCCAACTGCACAGGCATTGGGGCCAAAACTGTCCTTTCAGAACCAAGTCCTAAACGACCTCCCTGACCGTGTCCACAAGTCCACACCCGCCCGCAGGCTGATACCATAACTGTGTGAAATTTTTCCATGTGCACCTGAGGCAATGGAGTAAAATGTACATAGTGTCAAAATAGGTTGAATTATAATATTTATGGAAAACATCATTGGGTCATACCTGCACAATCGATACTGGTTTGTTCAGTTTGCGGAAAAAATCCAAAACTTCGGGTTGCTGTCTTCCTTGCATATTTTCAGTTCCTAAGTTGAAGTTAGTATTGGTCCCCCACACATATAATTCACATGGGAGATCTATAGAGAACTTGACATCTGGTATACGGTCTTTCATAGCCAGCTCAATTGAAGTTAAACCATTGTTATCTCTAATGCTAACATCTGCACCCAACTGTAAAAGACAGAATTTTTTAAGACGACTAGAAGATTTAAAAAAAATATATATGTAGTGATGTACATTTGCCTGGGCGGATCTAACCACATCATATACATTCTGGAATTTTGTAGTTTACCTGCAGAAGGATAACAGCAACATTAATCTGACCATAAAAGATACTTCGATGAAGAGGCGTGTATCCTGATTCATGGTCTTGAGCATTTAAGTTTGCATCACATCTTTGAATGAGCCACTGCACTAATTCTCTCCTGCCAAGCGATGCAGCCATGTGCAAGATGGTTCGCCCCAAACTGTCAGCTATAGATCCCACATTTCCACACAATAATGTGAGAGCTGATGCCAGCTCTCTGTCGGTTGGTTCCCTCCAAGTCAATGCAGCACCAAAAGCATCTCCATGTTTAAGGCTCATGCAATTTTCAGTGCAGTCTCCCAGGAAGTCTTTGCCAGTCATTTTAAAATGTTATAAGAGGTAAAATCTGTAAAAATATATACTTTAATTTTTTTTGGTAAATACTGAAATATGTAGCAGGAAGAAGAAATACACTTACAAAAATAGAAAGAAAGTAATATCTAAAGTAATTAAATATCTAATCAGGTACAAAATTTGAAATTATATCAACAGATTGGCCCACCCGAGAAAGGGCCACCTATTGAAGTTTAACAAGCCATGATTTTTGTCCGAGAATCCTGAAACAAGACATACAGAAAAAACAACTGAAATCTTTAGTGCTGTGCATATGTCATTCGGAATCAAAGTGACAGTTAGTAACAGCTATCTGCTGACATTCAGAGCTAAAACAGCAAAGTGCAGAGGGTACAGTTGGCATCGAACACATTAAGTAAAAAAAGAAAATAAGATTAACAAGTCACAGCATACTTATAGCTGACTAAGACATTCATAATCATATCACGAAATCCTCAAGTAGAGATCTAAAAGACAACTACTTACCTTCGTTAGCAACAAAACCAAGCAGGTTCAGTGTCAACTGAGTATGTGGTGCAATATGAAGACATTTTTACCGGAAAAAGATGGGCATGCAAACTAGGGAATTACAAATGCTTAGAATGTCGCGACCGTAGTGTTATCTGCATAAAACCGAATGAAGCAACAGCTGACAGTGTAGATAAAACACAAAATACAAAATCGAGCAGCAGCAGACCGCAGCAGCCAGCTTTGGCTTTCCTCCGGTACAGAAAGGGAAGGGGGGGGGAGGGGGTTGACATTTGGTTCGGGGAAGGGTATATGCGAGGCTAGTGTGCTAGGTTTGTAGATTGTGCTAGGTTTGTAGATTATGAAAACATTAGCAGCTGTCTCCGAAACCGGTCACAATGAGGTCAAAAAATAGCATCTTGTGAGTAGTGGGTAGAAGGGAAGATGGAACGAACCTACAACATCACTACGTTTACTCAATAGTGTCAAAAAATGGATTACATGTAACGAATGACAGTTTTGGCATTAATCGTATGTGTTTTGAAGTTATTTTAACTCTAATTTCACCTAGATTTACTATATTTAGACCCCGTGCGATACAGTCTGAGGGTGCAACTAAATCAGAAAGGGGGCAGGGCGGTCCCACACCATATATTTATCTCAATCAGAGGGTGCTAAACAAGCAAATGTGTTTACAATTTTTAAATTAAAAAAATTGTAACTGTACTGTGACATCTGTCCTTTAATTCTACTTCGTTGCTTGTCTTACCCCTGTCCAGCGTTGACATAACCATGTTTAAAATTATGATGAAGAGTCCGGACTTACCCACTTGACTTTTTTATTTATTAATTATTCTTAATGACAACTATCTCATCGACATGGAGAGTTGTTGTCACGATGTCTGAAATGTTTATATTTTTGTTTAATATTCCTGATGAAGTTGTTTGCTTACCGGTTCTGTCTTGATTTATATTACAGGATTAATGCAGTTTGTGGTCAATGATGGCAATCTCCCCTGTTCCTAAAGGTAAAGTTCTTTCATTGCTGAAACTGGCCTGTTGAAGTCATTTATTAAAATCTTCAATAATTTTTAAAAAATCTTAAATCCACAGTTTTGCTTTGATTTCATTTTGCCAAAATGAGTCACTTGGGCAGCCAAGTCTCCCTAGGGGCTGGAGCCTCTAGTATGGCAATAGACCAAGAAATCAAATCTTCCTCTCAGTTCACTCTTAAAGTCCACCTTCTGAATGGCAGTTTTAATGTAATTAAATATGGAGATGCAACGGATATCAAAGTATGTATGGTAATCAATTCGATTTTTCGTCCTTTAAGTTTCTTGCTTACTAACTGATCTGTGTTTTGGCTTCATATCCAGAGTATCATTACGTTATTGACAAGCAACATGGGTAGTCAACAAAATAGTCAGCGACCATTTCAACAAATGTATGCAATACGATTAACACATCCTAGCTCTAGGGTAGCCTACTGGTTACACCAAGATATGAATATGTTCCAGGTAAATTGTAGTAGTAATTTCTGTTTAAATTTTTTTTTGAAACCATAGGCTTGAATGTCAATGAAAATTATTTTCCTTCCAGGTTGAAGAAAAATATATCTCTAAACACCCAACTGAAGAATGGAACTATGAATTAAGGATACGCTACCACCCCCAGAACCTAAGTGAAGTGTTTGAACGAGACCGTGTGACATTTTACTATTACTATGATCAGATTGCAAGCGATTATCTTGCTAAACAGCCAACTGATACTGAGCAAGAGCTTGCAGTTCAGCTTGGGGTTCTCCACATGAGATATTATTTCAAAGATATGGCTCATGTTGCTCTAGATAGAAAAAGTAATTTTGAATATGTAGAGAAGGAAGTTGGTCTGCACCGATTTATACCCCGTTCTGTTATTGATGCTGCCAAACCAAAAGCTATTCGTAAAGCCATACAATCTCAATTTAAGAGTGTAGCAAAACTCAGTGAGCGTGATGCAGCATTCCGGTTTTTGGATTTACTTCGTACTCACATGGAGTATGACCATGAGCGCTTTCATGTGTCTCTGGGTGTAAGTTGTATTTAATAATTAAATACAGTAGTAGCTCCCTTGAATCTTCTTTGCAAACATTTCTGATTATTGGGTTTTCAAATTTCAGTCTGGATGGTCTATACCAGTTGAACTTGTGATTGGTCCTAGTCTTGGTATCTCCTATGTCACTCACCAAGCCACCACTGTAAGTAGCGGCTAAAGATTTTTTTCTCTTTGTGTTAATTTAAAAGAAAATTACTGTACATTTCCTCTAAGACAATCTTGTGATTTTACTTTGTGTTGTATAGCCAACAAAAATGGCAGAGCTCTCGAGTATTAAAGCAATTCAAACTCTAATGACTGAATGTGAAGCTCATCGCAAGGCTATGGTGCAGCTACGTGTAGCTGGAACATCAGAATCTCTAACTGTAACTTGTGCTTCAATGGAGGCAGCTGAGAGTCTAGCTGACTTGATCGATGGATATTGTAGACTCTCAGCAGGCACTAACACTTCACTATGGAATCGTAAAGGTACATTTTTTTGATTTATTTTTTTAGTTTTAAAGCTCTCAGAGTTCAAGATGGGCTACCTTCTATACTTACCTCCTATGCTCTCTTTCTCAAGCGGCTCTTTGGAAACGTTATCCATGTCCTTGTGCTGCCACTAAAGGTTTGTCAGGGTTGAAGTATAAGATGATTTTTTCACATTTTTGTGCATTTCATTGTTAGATAGTTAACTAGTGATAGAAAAATTTCCCAGCTTGAGCCAAAACTTGCTATTTTTAGGGAAATATTCTTTTAGAATTTAAATTTTGACCCCAAACAGGTTTTGTTAGAAACTGCAGGAGAAAGCACTTACAATATGAAATGTAGACATTATTGCAGGGAGTTGGTGACTGGTTTAGATTATGTGCTGTGTTTTGACTGGATTTTTGCATGATAAGACTATAGTGTTACTGTATGAATTTAGTTTTTACAAAATTGAAAAAGTTCTTTGAATGATAGTTACATTGTATGTAGTTGACAATATCAAGCTTTTAGTGTTGCTACAATTTTATCTCTTATTTAGAATCTGTTTTTTTCCCCTCTCCATTTGTTTTTTGTTTTACAGTCCCCCAGCTCTCTGCTGTTCTCCTCCATTTTTTGACTTTCTATCTGATTTCAGATGCTCATATGTCCAAACCTAAATCTGGCGGACCCACTCTGACTGAAGATTATGCTGAAATTGTTGATGAAGAGGGTGACTACTCCACGCCTGCTAGTAAGTTGTTGAATTTTATTCCTACAATTTAAGTAATTGTCAAAATTCTGGCATCATTCCACACAAGCCCAAACCTTTTCACTATCCAGTGTAATTTTTTTTTCTCTTTAGCTCGTGATTATGAGTTGGTTCGCAATCAGGTAGAGCTAGGAGAAATAATTGGTGAAGGACAGTTTGGGGATGTGCACAAAGGAAGTTTCCGATCCAACAAAGATGGTCATATTGTTCCTGTGGCCATTAAAACTTGCAAACCTGATGCAGATCTTGCTACTGCTGAGAAATTCTTGGAAGAAGCTTGTAAGTTTACTCATTCTGTTTATACATCTTAATACTTTTTACCCTCTTGGTGCTTTATTCATTGATTATTCATTTTATGTACTTCAGATATCATGCAGCAGTTTCATCATCCCCATATAATTCGATTAGTTGGAGTTTGTTCTGATAGTCCTATTTGGATTGTGATGGAGTTAGCTAGATTAGGGGAGCTTCGGGCGTATCTTCAACAAAATTCAGCACGTTTGGACCTTGCTACTTTACTGCTATATTCATTCCAATTGAGCACAGCCCTCTCTTACCTTGAGTCCAAAAAATTTGTTCACAGGTAAGACAACCTAATTTACAGTTCTTTTTCTTGGTGTTTTAGTTTATTCTCAACAAGTTTGCTCTTACTATTTACAGAGACATAGCTGCTCGAAATGTATTAGTATCATCTCACCATTGTGTCAAGCTAGCAGACTTTGGATTATCTCGATGGGTAGAAGATCAAAGTTACTACAAGGCGTCGAAAGGAAAGCTTCCCATCAAATGGATGGCACCAGAATCTATTAACTTTAGACGATTTACAACTGCCAGTGATGTTTGGATGTTTGGTATGTTCTATTTTATCAAATATATGGCTGTGTATGGCTATTTCTTTTAAAAGTTCAGTCTTAATGTGAAGATTTTAACTGCAGGGGTATGCATGTGGGAGATCCTTATGCTTGGTGTGAAACCATTCCAAGGTGTTAAAAACAACGATGTTATTGGCAAGATAGAAAATGGCGAGCGCCTTGCCCTACCAGCTCGCTGTCCTCCAAGACTTTACAGCCTTATGTCGTCATGTTGGAGCTATGAGCCCTCTAAAAGACCAAGTTTCAAGGACATAAAAGAAGTTTTGAAGTAAAATTGAAATTGTATTTTAGTTGTATATTTTACACGAAGTGAGTCTTTTTATTTACATTGTATTTTGTATGGTATCTTTCAGTGAGATTTTACTAGAAGAGAGAAGCCAGCAACAAGAAACAATGCGGAGAGAAAATAGAAGAGTTCAGGCTATGTCGTGGGGTATGTTAACCCACCTTTTTTTCCTTAAATGCTCTAAAAATAATTTGTGCAATTTGAAAAGTTCTCCCGAATTACAGGTTCTTCAGGCTCTGATGATCCTCCTCCACCTAAGCCATCTCGCATGCTCCAGGCAGGCAACTTGCCAGACTGCTCATCAACTGCATCATTGAACACCTCAGCGGTTGCTGCTCCTAATGTGCAAACGTATATAGTTGCACAAAACCCAGAAGTTTTGATGCAATTGATGAGAGAAAATGAGAACCGTGCCCTGAACCCTGCTGTGTACACAACTCCAGCTTCAGCATTCAACACATTAGCGGTAGATTTCAAAGACAAAGGACCTTCTCATTCTACTTCCACTTGTTCCCTCACCCAAAGTCCTCATTTATCAAGTTCTCGCCGTACGCTTGACTGTGTGTCACCATCTACCTCTTTGGGGGCAGTGAGCGACGGAGCCTCATCTCCCATCATGCGCAAATCTCTTCCTCGTAACAAAACTAAGCAGGTTACAGCTCCTATGGTGGCGTCTACTTCTTCCTTGAAAGATGATTCAGATGATGCCTCTACATGCTCTCAATTATCTATGACATTGTCTACTCATTCATCTACTGCGCTGGATCAGACTCCTACACAAGGCCCGGTGAGGGGCACCGCAATGCATGCACATTTCAGAGATTTTTGTAACTCAAACATTTGCTTAGTGTTCTGTAACTAAATTTGCAGTGCGTTTTATTTTCTAGTAGAATTTTCCTCCTTCTCACATAGCTAATTTGAGTAAATTTATTTACCAATCGTACCTCTTACGTTTGGTGTGTGAAGTGTGATGCTTGGAATGTTAGTTAACAAATTCAACGCTGATTAAAGTACGTACAGCTTTAATCTATTTTCATGCTTGGCTGCCTTTCTACACCATTGAGTCCTCAAAAGAATGCTGCTTAGTGAGTGATTACCTGTTTTGAAGTTTTTAAATTTGCATGATTTAATCTTGGTATGAATGTCATGGCATTGCATCAAAACTGTGTAAACATTAAGTTCAGAATTCTGAATTGTTAGTCTGTTACTTTTCTCGAGCCATTTACCCTTTTCTTAAATCCATTTCTTTTTTTTCCATTTTCTGTCTTAACTGAATTTCACTTTGCTTTAACTCTCCTTTTCATCACCAGTTGAAAAAGACTTAATTTTTTATTATTTTTTCTTTTTTGTTGGGGGGGGGGGAGGGGTCATTTAAAGAAAATAATAATTTGTAAGCCTTTTTATGTTGTGAGGATGGGTTGTTTTAAATTCTGCATGGTTCATGTGTTTATCATAACATGTCATTACTGTCTTCCTTTCTTTCTTTTTTTTAATTTTCTTCCCATTCATTGTTACTACTAATAGTCAAAAGTCATATTCATCATATATCACTTTCCTAAGAATTATTTTCTTTTGAATGATGTTGCATGTTTGTTGCATTTAATCAAAGTGTTTACTCTATCTTCTTCATTTTCTGCAGATTTCTACCTATTAAGCCTTTAAACTGAAAGAAAAATATTTGTTGTGCCTTAACTAATTTTTCCATCTTTTTCCCTTCAACTTAGACGCCTTCTACTATATATGGTGATTCCGCTCTTGACACTGAAGCAGAATCAAGAAGACTTGAACAGCGTTTGAAGCAACAACAGAAGCAGTCGGAAGAAGATGGAAAGTGGCTTGCTGAAGAAGAGAGTAATTTGGTAATTCTCTCGGAATGAGGTTATTTCTGAAAAAGTCTATCACTAACTAACAATTAATATTATTCCTACACTTAATTCCTACAGAAAAAGCGTCTTTCCATGGTTGGTGCGGAAGGAGAAGAAGCAGCAGCGCTCAGTACTGGCTCCGTGAGCCGCGGTCCGAGCCCTGATCACTCTGAACATTCCACTGCTTCTTTAGATAGGGTAATTGTAGTCAAGGTGAGCTAAATTATTAATTGTTAATTTTTTTGCTAGTATTGTATTGTCTACTGTTTTATGACAATTTTGATCTTCTTTAGAAAATGGAGCCAACACCTACTGCTGATCTTGACAGGACAAATGACAATGTATATGAATGCACCACAACTGTTGTAAAAGCTGTTATGAGTTTATCACAAGGTAACAGCAACTTCATTTTCACATTTATAGTATGTCTATCCAGTTGTTTTTCATTTGATCGTTTTTAAAATAATTGTGTTTGTATGCAGGTGTCCAACAAGGAAATGTTGAAGAGTACCTTGATCTTGTCAGGCATGTAGGGGTTGAGTTGAGGGCATTACTTACCAGTGTTGATGATTTAGTGCCGCTTTTCCCAATGGCTGCTCATAGAGAGGTACACATTTTCATACAGTCAGATTAAAGTTAATTTTTAGTGTGTTCCAGATATATGTCTTAAGTTTTAATTTGTTTGAAACCTACAGGTTGAGCTGGCTCACAAAGTTCTTAGTAAGGATATGAGTGAGCTGGTCAATGCCATGAAGTTGGCCCAAAGCTATAGTACTACTACCCATGATAATGTGTATAGGAAGTATGTAACAAATGGATTTGATATTATTTTTTTCCTGCAGTATCCAGTTATTCCATTCTCTCTGTTAAATATCTAAATCTTAACCCAAGACTTCTTCTTTTTAGGGGAATGCTCTCTGCTGCTCATGTCTTGGCAATGGATGCAAAAAATCTCTTAGATGCTGTGGACTCAATTCGAATTCGGTATCCAGATGTTGACCGCATCATTTGTAATGGTGGAATACCTCCCCCTGAGCCAGCTCCAGAAGGACCTCTGGGGCAGGCTTCAAGAGAAATTGATTCAGCTGAGACACCAACAAGTAAATGCACATTTCACTAGGCATTTTGTTTTGTTATTAGGGACGCTATCCATTTTAGGTATTAATGAAAAAATGCCTTTTTTTGTTTCTATTAGATCCGTCGGTATGTATAACAGACAGTGTTGTTGGTATTGCTGTCCCAACAACGCCACCACCACCAGCTGATCCAGAACCTGAGCCACTGCCACATCCATTAGAACAGCCAATTTATGTTGCGTCCGGGATACCAGTTAATCATCTCCAGAAAGTTCATGCAAGTCAGGCACCTACGAGGGCAGATTGTTCATGATCTCATCTGTGACAGGAATAACTTCGTTTGTATCTTCCTATCACATAGGGACAGCTTTAATGTACCAAACAACAGTCTTGAAGTTCCGAAATGTAACTTTAATTCTTTATGTTGCTCTTCAGTTATACTTTGTTTCCCAGTTTATTCTGCGCTCTTAGCTCTTTTTTTAAGAAGACATGTTCCAACATTTTCTTTATGTTCTATCTTTTCCATAATGCAAATGAAACTTAACACTCCTTCCTTTACAATCTAGTGTAGGTGTTTTCAAAAGTTTGGTGTAAGTTAAAGAAGTAGGTACACAAGTTAAGAGATGTTGTCTTCCTTCAAACTAAAGGCAACATTGTAAAACCGGAGGCAGTGTTGTTTCTGTATTGTTTGTTTCTATTTTTATAGAAAAATTACTGAAGATCAATATGCAGTATTGATAAGAGAAGGCCTTGTATTAATGTGCTATTGTGATAATTGGAAGACTAGTCAATGAGACCAAGTGTCATTCCGCTCAACACTCAGTCTGAGGATATTGTTTCCTGCTTTATCTTGGGGATGCGAGGACTAGAATTATAGTACAAAGAAGTAGGCATTTATGCCTGTGCTTCCACTAATGTGCTTAATCGTTTTACACACTATTTTTCCCTTCTTACTTGAGTTTTCACTGATTTGGAGGAATGTGGGATTTATTTTGTGTTTATCAACTGTTCCTTATCTAGAACTAATCATGTTGATCTGCTTATTTTGGATTATGGCTGTTTTGTTTGAGTAGAATGATCAATTGATTCTTAGGCTGATTGTTTCAGATGTGTGTTGGTTTTACATGAGACTGAATTTATGTTTCATCTATCTTTATCTTCTCCCCACCCTTTTTTAAAAATGTCATATCTTTTTTTCCCTGCTTTTTTATCTTTTTGTTTTGTCTTGAGAGTTCTAATGGACTAACTGGCTAGAAGTAAAATCAATTAAGTAGTCAATCCCATCTCTTTGTGTTCTTTTGAACTGCTTTCATTTTTCAGATTCATCAGACCGAATATTGTTCCTGTTGTGTAGATTCAATGACATATCAGTACGATTTTACTAAGTGCAATAATGTGTTCAGGAAGGCTGTTTTCATCTAGGGGAATATCTCATAGCAAGCTACTGTGTTTAGAATCCTTACATCAGTACTTAGCAATTTATCTGGGACTGGCATCATTTTTTCAAGCTTGATAGTTGGTAGTTAACATTCTCCCTTCATCTCACTCAGTATACCACTTTTGTCCATTTTAGGGTTTTACTATACATACATTTGTAGTCTAAAGCCAAAAATAAAGTGTAGCTAACTTTCTCAATCAGAGATAGGGGAGATCTTTCCTCTGTGGTTTTACAATTACTGACAATGACATTTAAATTAACATTATCTTATCCAATTGATTGTATTGTATTAGTGTTTTCTCTTGTCCCCAGATTTAGTAGTGTAGTGTGGTTTGATCAGTTTCATGCGAGAAACTAACTCATTGTTTCAAATAATTTAGTCATTACCACTATGAATATATTTACGTCTGAAATATTGTGTATTATCGTAGAGCATAATGTGATGCAGAAAGATTATGAATACTCAATATCTACCATGGAAGTAATTTTAAAAGAAAATATGAAAATCTATGTATATTGTATATCTGTAATTCTTTTATTAATTAAAAAAAATAAGATCTGTTATGTGAGACGCGTTAAGAAGATATGGTATAATAACCACCTTTGTGTACATTATCAGGCTGACCTGGGGGCTGGGCACCGTCACCTTACTTGCACCCAGAGGACAGAAATATGTCATGTGACATCCTTTGACGCCATCTCTGACAGTCTAAATGACTAAATTTTGACAAACTTTGACAAAAATTTCAAATTAGGCACCTTGACTTTCAGAAATGACGTCACAGGATGTCACACGACATTTTTCTGTGCTCTGGGCAGCCAATATATCTCGCTCTGTTCTCGGGCAAGGCTTGCAGCACGAAATTCCTCCGAACCGGGGATGGGAATCAGAACGAACCACGTCTGATTACTCTAACGGGTTATTATCCATTAAGTCATAGGCAGGCGCCTAACGAAGGGGATGAGCCTGGGCTCCGGGCCGGTAGGCAACCTCTCCGGCACGGCTGCGGAGCGTGCGTCGGACGGAGAAAGCTCTCAGGGGAGGGGGCGGGGGAGAATGATCCTCATCCCCATTCGCGCACACACCTCATCTCGATCCTCGAACAGGACGAGCAGTGCGACGATGACGACAGGCGGAGGCTGCGCAGCTGGAGTGAGCCGCGGGTGGCCTCTGCACTCGCGGGCGGCCCTGCCCCTCTCCGCCCTCGCCCCCCATCCCGTCACCCTTCACCAACTTCCTCCCAGTTTTGCCGCAGCAGCGTCGTACAACCACTGCTGCAAAAGGGTGCTTGGATGAAGAGACGAAAGGATGAATAGAGAGAGATGGATGCAGTAGTAGGCAGTGAGGGAGGGAGCAAGGGGGAGGGGGGGGGGGTGATTTCAGTGAGCTAACGTGCCATCCTATGAGGAGGGAAGGGAGGACGCGTGTAGCAGAAGCGAAAGAGAGCAGCGGGCAAACGGGACGGAGAGACACAGCGCCGAGCGAGCCGAATCATGTGATATACAATAAGAAGAACTTTCTTCCTCGACCGGACGGCCTCGCCACCGCCGCCGCCGCCACCACCAGCTCAGCGCTCCGGGAGGAGAAGGGGACTGGCAACTCACCTGGAGGCGACCAGGGGGGAGGGGGGCAAGGCCGTGGCGCTGGGCTGGGCCCGTCGGCGCTGCGGGGCGGGGGCCCCACCGCGGGGCCGCGGGGGCCCCTCCGCTGGGGTCCGCGCCGCGCGGCCCAGGCCGAGCCGAGCCGAGCCTTAGTTAGCCGAGCTCGAGCGTGAGCCCCACGACACGGCACGGCACGACCAGACACGGCAGTCCCGCCCCGCGCCCGTCCGGAGCAGTGTGGTGCAGAGGCTCAGCTGCAGAGCACAGGCCGGAGAACAGCGCGCAGCCAGGCGCAGCCCAGCAGGCCGCACCCGACCCGACCCGCGCCCCCCGCGCGCCCCGCACGAGCCGCCGTCACGTCCCGCGCGCCCGCGTCGCAGCGACCCCCGCGACCGACCGACCGACCGCGCCGTGCCGCTCAGCCGGTCGAGACCGTCCCCGCCGCGCAGCAGAGTGACCACCACCGCGGGACGACCACAACGACGACGTCCACGACCAAGAGGAGAGCAGAAGGGCGCCGCAGCCCTGGCGGCCCTGGCCCAGTGATTGTGCGGTAGTGGATGTGAGTGTCAGTCGCAACAACAGCCTGGTGTGGTGTGGAGTGTGTCGCGCAGAGTGCGCTGGGAGTGCGATTGGATACGCTGCAACCCGCCTACCGCCTGACGCGGCTTGTCGCCGAGCCGCTCCTGTTGGAGCCGCACAAGGCCCTGGTTGTGCACAGCCCGCCCGGCCCGCTCGTCCTGCCCCTGCTCGCGCAGCTCGCACAGCTCGCGCAGCTCGCGCAGCTCGCACAGCTCGCGCAGCTCACTCGCTCCGCCCGCCTTCGCTTGGCTCGGCCCGGCGCTTTCTACTTCTGCTGGTGAGTGGAGAGTGGAGCTGGCCGGACTGCGGAGCTGGAAAGGGGCGGCCCGCGCCGCGTCGCGCAGCCAGCGAGGTGTGAAGTGTGGTGTAGCAAGTCCCGAAGCTCCCGCGGGCCTCCGCGAAGCTCCCCGCGAAGCTCCCCGCGAAGCTCCGGCGGTTACTGGCCACCCGCGGCCGCTCTTGTGCAAAGTGCAAATGAACGTTACAGTTCACTCCGACCGAAGAGCGCCGCAGCTGCGAGTTGCGCTGTTGCCAGTTGCGGTTCTGAAGGATAAAATGTTTCTGTCGCGAAATTCCACGTGCCCTGGTGTAGCCTAGCGTTGTCCCAGTGGTAGGTGCAGGGTGTCTCAGCTTCTTCCCCTTCACTAGGGTCGGTCGAAGGATGAGACCGAGCTAGGCGACGCTGTCCTCGAGCCGCCGCGGTCCTACGAGCTGGAGCCACCCGCCTCGCCTCGCCCCGCGCCCGCCGAGGGTCCATTCACCCGCAAGCCCACCAGGCCTGCACTCGCCTCCGGTACTCCAGTGAGCCGGGCCAGCTGCGCCCGCCGCGCCGCGCCGGGTTGCGCCATGCGTTCGAGCCGAGCAGCAGGCCCGGCCAGAGTCCAGCCGAGCCGGGTACGCGTCCGGGCCTGTGCCGCCACCGCGGTCCGAGCCGGGGGCGGCCGCGGGCCGGCCAAGAGGGCCGAGACTGGCGGGGCGGGGCGGGGCGACGCGACACCGCCGCCCCTCTACACCCCGCTAACAGGTGCATGAGGGGCCGACGGGGCTGCCAACGGGCTGCCAAGTGGCCCGGGCAGGCGTCCCCCCGCGCATACTTATCATCGCTACGCAATGCCCGACGCGCCGTTGTATGTGGCCAGCGGCCCCGCCCCACCCCGTCACGCTCTCGTCCTCCTCTTGCCCGATCGGGCTGAATTTGGGGACGCGCGGTGCGACTTACGACTGCCGACTGATTCCGAAGAACCTTCTCCTATACCTTCCGTATAGCTCCGTCCTCGTCGCGCACTCACAGGGCAGCGCCCCTGGAGGTTTCTTCGGATTCAGTCTGCTGGGCCTCCAGGATCCGTATTTGGTGACGCTCCCTGCAGGATCTTTGACGCGGTTAGCTGTGCGGTGCAGCGCGATTGAACCATTTCTTGTGGCGTGGCGGCGTCGTGGTAAGGCGGGGACAGCCGGTCGCGCGTCGCGGCGCCATACGGCTCCGCAGGATGGCGTGTCACATCTCGCTCCCTGGCCGGGGAGCCTCATATACGGCCTGAAAAGCGAGAGAAACGGAGCGCTATATAGTGTGTCGAGGAGAACATAGGGAAGTGGCGGAGCGATAGCCTGGCGAGCCGCGTCGCCCCCCGCCCCGCCCCGCGCGCCAGGAAGACGAGAAGAGCGCAGCGCCAGGATATCCTCTTTGCGTCTCACCGGGGAGTCAGCCGACGCCACCGCAGCGCAGAAGAGCGCACCGCCGGTCAGCTGGATGGGGTGGTTGGCGGGGCGGGGCCAGGATTTGTGTTCGCTCGCATAAGCGGCGTTTCATCAGCGCTTGCCCCCCCACCCTGCCCTCCCCTCTGCCTCTCCTCTCGGGTGTGCGGGCGGACCACGCAGACTGGCCCGCGGCCGCAGGACCGCTGCCAGGAGGCGCCGGCGCCCTCCCTCCCCACTCCCCTCAGCGGGCGGGCACGCGCCTTTAGAATACCGCCGACGTCGGCTGCATGTCGGGCCGACGTCGGGTCGGGCCGGGCCGCCGGCGCATCGCATCTTCGACAGCGACGTCCGACTGACCTTTGTGGGGCCCGGCCCATACCCACACACTACTACTTCTCTCCTCCTGCCCCGCCACCGCCGCCGCCACCGCAGGTTCATCTGTGCGTCGGCGTTGTGGGGCATTTCAGGTCGCAAACACACGCGTTGAGCAAGCGGGCGGCCTTCCCTCGCCTTCCCTCGCCTTCCCTACCCCGACCGGCCGGCCGGCCCGTCCGACAAGTCGAGTATGCTGGCGCTGGCGGGCCCCCCCAGCCGCCTGCCCCGGGAGGGGCGGGGCTCGGCAGCGCGGCGGGGGTGCGGAGTGCGGAGTGCGGCATCAGGGACCGTTCGAAAACGCAGTTCTGCGCAGCAAACGCAACGATTGGCACGTGACAGCGGTGCCCGGTGCCCGGCCTGTGAGAGCGCCGGGGTGGTAGGCAGTCCCGTGGCGCCGCCGTGCCTCGCGGCCGTTTCGGGCTGCCTACGCTGCAGGAGCTGAGCTGCAGCCGCCGGTGGGAGCGCCTGGGCGGTAGGCAGTCCCGTTGCACCGCCGTGCCTCGCGGCCGGCCCGAGCTGCCTACGCTGCAGGCGCTGAGCTGCAGCCGCCGGTGGGAGCGCCTGGGCGGTAGGCAGTCCCGTTGCACCGCCGTGCCTCGCGGCCGGCCCGAGCTGCCTACGCTGCAGGCGCTGAGCTGCAGTGCGCTCCGCGCCGCCGGCCGCCGCCGGTGCTCCCCGCTCCGGACAGATCCCGTATCTGGACAAACCTTGCTCAATACCCGTTTCGTTTCGTGGCTTGATCCCCCTCCCAACAACCGGATCGTGTCCCGGACCCCAGACACACAGTGTGTTAGCGCCAAGTGCACGGCGGCACTCGCACACGTAGACACACACACTCGAACACAAACAAACAAACAAACACACGCACACGTACACGCTGCGCAAACGCACACACTGACTCCGAGGCACGCGCGACGCATTCGGCTAGACTTCACAATGCTCATTACATAATTTGCGATGGCTTCGCGGCCAACAGTTTGGTGTTGACGCTGTCGGCGCTGACGTCATGTGGGCTGCACAACACATGGTAGGGCACGTCGTGGTGGCGCAGCTCGACACTGAGCACGCACCTAAAAAATTGGTTTCTTTTTGTTTCTTCTTCTCTTTCCTCCTTTCGCCAAGAGCGTCGTCGCGTGCCAGATGCCTCGTCCTCCCCGCCTCCTTCCTCCACATTGTTATATATTTCGTGGCATATTTCTGAAACCGCGATCGTGAGGAGCGGAGTGAGAAAATATATCGGCTCGTGAGTCCCGACGTAGTTATCGATACCGGTCGGTAGGCTACGCCCGCGCACGGATTATGCGTTTTTTATTAGTCTGAAATTGGGGGTGCGCTCTCCGCTCCGCACGGCGGCCCGGGCCGCCCGGGCCGCCCGGGCCGGCGAAAGCAGGAGCGGCTGGTCGCTATGGCGGTCAGTTTCCGTTCAGTCGGATTGCGTACGTTCAATTGTTTCGGGGCGGGCGGTCACGCGGCGAAAGCCCCCACCGGCGGGCCGCCGGGCCGCCGGGGCGGCGGGACCCGGCGCGCACGACTCCAGGCCAGGCCACACAGAGACAGTTGTTATATTTGCCACGAAATCTTTTTCGCGGTTTTTCACGATGAGTATCTTCTCGCCCCAAACGTGAGAAAGCAGCGCCTCGGCCCACGCTGTTCGGGCGGCGGCGGGCCCTTGAGGGGGGAGGGTTGGCGGGGCTCAGGCGGCTCTTGGGATTCACTTTGGCGATAAAGTACGTCGCGTTGGAAAGAAAAAAAACTATTGTTTGTGCCCTAACTACAAGTCCTAACAGCCCCAGGATTAATTTGTCGAATCACGAGGCCAACAGAGATATGGTCGCATTTGGAGTGAAAGGCCATAAAAGTCTGTCTTCCTCGTGCATTGAGATGCTCCAAGCCGTCTTTTTGCAAACCGTCGCACACCCACGCGGACTTTCTTTAGAGTGATGGATTTGAGAACAGCGCACTTCTGCCAAACACAAGGCTTATGAGCAGCGTGAAACAGGCACAACAGCCGCACTGATCTCATCGAGCCTTCCTTCAAGCCAAATGCACGGTACTGTGCAAGTTCTTTGCTGCATACTTTAATAATTACTTCTGAAAGATCTGCAGGATGAATATAAGCTGTAAATAAACTTTGGTGGGTCTTTGGTGAGTGAATCACACGTTGTGTGGCAGTCATTATGCAGCACTGAGACCATGACCATACTGAACTGCGGGGATCGATCTCCCAGACAGAACACTCACAGCCGTCCAAGCTCTCACACACACATTATATTACTTACAGTGATTGAAACATCACCACGCGGTCTCACACTTTTATTTATAGAGTGGAATCGTTTTGCTGAGTGAAATGAAGTAATGGGCGGTTGTGTAGCGCCGAGCGCGCCGCTTCCGACGTGAGCGAGTGAATGAGAATGTTCACAATACGATGGCCTCCTGCGCGTGTGGTAACGCATCGACACAATGTCAGCGGAGCTCGAGGCGCGGAGCTCCTTTGGGGGGATAGGACGAGGCGAGGTCCCTGACAGTTCCTTGCGAAGGATATTGCCGCTTTGTGAGCTTTACGAAGGAAGTTCTTCGCAATCGCGAAAGGATGTTCTTCGCGCATTTCAAAGGCAATCGCCTGAAACTGGTTCGCAGCAGTACGAAGCAGCCGCAATCGTTCGCAAGGATTGAACAAAAACAAATATAAAACTAAGTCGTGGGCAGTACGACATAGTTTTTGTGTCCCAAAGAGGACGTGGCTTGAGCCGAGAGAGCTTTACGATGATTCGCTGCACCGCATGGACCACATGCACGAGGATTGCCACCCGCAAGTATTTAGGTTGTACTAAAGTTTCCCCTACTCCAAAGTCTTTTTCGCGAGCATTTGGAGTATACCTTCGCAACTTTCTGCACGATTCGCGTGCAGAATTCAGACACGGCGAATAATGGTTTGTTTATGTTTGTTTTTTGGGGGGCGTGGTTGACTCTCCCGGGCCCCGCGCAGGCAGCCGCAGGCACCTGCCGCCGTGCCGGACGCGGCCGGGGCGCGACGCGCAGGGATACCTTCCCAGTGGCGAGATTCAAGGACGCGGACGCGGGGCAACCAGTAGACGGGCCTGCTAGACTTACCACTCTGCCCCACCACTCCGGCCCCGCCACGCCCTACCACGCCCCGCCACGCCCCGCCACGCCCCGCCACGCCCCGCCACGCCCCGCCACGCCCCG